ATTCTATAAACTGGGATTTTTTAAAACATCTATATTGATTTGTCCCTGATCAGCTGTAACTTGTTCATTTTTTACTGTAGTTGTTTTTAATCCAACAGTAACTAAACACTGAACAGTGTGTCCTGCTGACCTCAGGCACTTTAGTTTCTCACCTGTCAGGTGCTACAGGTTAGAAGGCCACCTGTCAGGCTGCTGTTAGGTTCTCTCTGACCCGGTCGGGCTGCTTGGTTGGTTGGTGGGTTTATCTCGGCAGGGTTTGGTGTCAGTGTGGAGGCGACTCTAACCGGGCTGCTCTTCTCCTTCTGTTTCAGGGGGGAAAGGAGGCCAGAGCCCCTTGAAATAAAAGGAGAAGGAAGAGCAGGAAGAGTCGCTCACACTGACACTGACAGCGACTCTCACATAAACGGGTTCAGTCCTGCGGCGCTGACACGGTGCGCCACAGGCTGCACTGGTTGCATTTATCTCATCTGAAGTCCATTTAACTTAAAGTCCTGTGACATGACAGCTTCCTGTTGGAGGGAGAGCTGGAACAAGACACGCTTCACTTCTCAAACTGACAAACCAAAACCTGACTTCTATATTTCTATGAGATGTTTAAATCCAAGCAATGATTGTATGAGTTTACATAAGTGTGTGTTTACCCTGATTTTATTCATGATGATCAGTTCTGGCCTCTAAGTCTTCATCGCGCTGCCTTGTCCGTTAGTCCACGCTACAGCACCGTACGTTCGGCTTCAGCATCAGAGCTCATTCATTCTGCTAACTCACAGAAGCTCGTGCAGCTTTTCCACTTCAGGTTTTTGAAGGTTTCCCCAGATGTCCAGGCAGCTAACTCAGTGCGGACAACTCATTTCTGCTGAATATTCATGGAAATAAAGTCTTTAATTGGAAAAAAAGGAGAATTTTGTTGAGTGTTTCTGTTGTAAACCCACCGACCAACAGTTCTTAAAGGTCTAAAGTTTGTTCTCTGTGTTTAACATTCACAAATCCTGCTTTTTGCACTTATTTCAATGATTTATACAAACAAATGTAAGTATAGAACATTTTAAAGAGCAGATTTTGGGGTAAAAACATCCAACAGTGAGATAATATCATGATGTATATGAGGTGTTTAATGGAGGCTACGACCCAGAACATCTGCACACAAGCACATACAAACAGATGGTCCATGTCTTCCTGCTGTGTGGTGTCCAGTCAGCATCCCTCAGACGGGGACAGACCTGATACTGGAGGACGTGGACGATGAAGACAAGGAGACCAAGAAGCAGAACAAAGAGAAGAAGCAGGTGAGGCCGACATATCTTCATGTTCCAGACTTCTCTCTGCTCTGCTCATCAGATGTAGAAAGATGTTCCACCATCAGATGTAGAAAGATGTTCCACCATCATGTAGAAAGATGTTCCACCATCAGATGAATGTATCTCCACCAACTGGCTCCTCTGGTCTCTGGTTCTGATCCGTGCTGCATCTATTCATTGATCCAGTAGGATGGATTCTCCTTCAGGCTCTCTGAGGAAACTCTCTGAATGTTTCACTGAGTCGGTTTTAGAGAACGAGTTGAACTGAGGGAAGAAGAATGTTTAGTTTTTTGTAGAATGCAGAGAAGATTTATAATTTTTGGCATCTTTTAAACATGAGACATAAAATAAAGTGATTTGGATGAAATATCACAACTTGAAGTTTAGATTTGGTTCGTTTTCTCGACATCACACATTCAAGAGAGTCGAGAGTTTGATCATCTGCCTCCAGGTTCAGAGGGTCAATCATGCAAACGTCTTCAGTAGAACCCAAAATGTCATCACAAACCCATAACTGTGCAGAATTTGGGCCCGTTTCTGTCCACACTGTTTCAGCATGTTGTATCTGTAGCTCACTAACATGCTGAGGCTCCAGTGTACCACGTAACCCTCATCCTCAGAAAGCATTTCACTTCACAGCACCACTTGTTCTGTGGTTCTGCAGATAGCACCAGGGTCTTAGAACCAGAGGTCCCAGTGAAGCCATAAGGAACGGTTCTGTGGTAGATCCAGAACAGAGACCACAGCACTTCATGTGAGACTCAGAGCTGAACAGGTTTCTCTCTGTGTTTGGTTCCAGACAGAAGATGCAGCGACGCAGGAGGACCAGCTAACTCCACTGATGGACAGCATCAAGAGGGAGGCTGGAGAGGCTGTTCTGGCCCACATGGAGGAACGGTGAGCTGGTCCCACATGTACTGGAAGGATAAAGAACGACTGTTCTGTTTGCACAACCTCGTTAACTGGAAGCTGTTGGTATGAAAGCATATCACACTCTGTGCACCGTACATCAGCAGGACATCAGGCTGCTTTAACTGAGACTTTCTGAGCTGCAGGGTCTGTGTGATGCACATTTCACATCTATCCAGGTCCACAGCAGTCTTTACTGGTTAGTTAAGAGGTTTAGCTTCAGGCTCAGGCCTGTTTCCACAGCTTGAAAGGAGGAGGAAGAGTCATCAGACCACTACTGTTCTTCTTTCATAGTCTTTTCTATAAGTCAGGCCGGTGGTGTAGCTTCCACATCCCCACGGCTCTGTGAGCATTAAAGTCTGCACGGACCCTCCACACATGTCCATGCTCAACCATCTCACTTCTCAGAGTGGAGCCACTGCTCTTCACTCATAAGAAGGTCTTCAACATAGCGCTGAAGTTCTCGTCCCCAAACGATCAAATCCTGGTCCAAAGTCAATCAGCATTCTCACCAGCACTCTTCAGAAAAACCACCTGCAGTGATGTTCAGAGCAGGAAGCACCAAAATCAAACAAAAAGTCCATCAGAAGACCATTTTGGAAACTGTCATGAGGCCATGGGCGCAGACCAACACTGGACCTTTCAGAAAGACTCTCCAAAGACCACTGGGCCTGGTGCCGACCACACTTTCACAAGAATGGCCTCCCTGCTCCCCAGATCTCAACCCCCTGGACTCTTCCATGCAGAGCATGTTGGAGTCCAGGGCCTGTGCATCAGTGCACATAGACTTGGAGGCTCTCAAGCATTTCCTTAAGCAAGAGGAACAAAAAACACCTCAAGGACCTGATGGCACCACTGATGATTTTCAAAAACAGCTTGTATCGAGAATAAAAGTGATTTTTTTTTTTAAAGAAGCTATCATTTTACATTTTCTAACAATTCAACTTTCCTAAACATATGAAACGTTTCTATGTGATGTGAACTTGAGGGACACATGCTGCACCTTGTAAACTACTTTTTATCGTCCACGTGGAGGACTGTGCTGCATAAATACTCAGTAGGTCATGTCCATGTCTTATACATACGACTGCTGAGCAGCCGCACTATTGCTCTTGTAGCGTCGCAGACTTGGTGAGATGACAAAGCTGACATCATGTGAACCGTTACGTCCTTAGAAAGTCTAACACCGACCCAACAGCAATAGGAACATGTCTGTAAGTGTCCATAAGTGGCATCCTCCACAGGGCTTCATGAAGGCTTCAAACTTGGCGGGTTTCAGAGCTTCTTCTTGTTTCAGGCTGCAGCAGGAGCGTCTGGAGGCGGCTCGCGTGGCCGAGGACATGGCCAGGAAGGCTGCAGAGGAGGCGGTCCGACAGCTGGAGGTGGAACATTCAGCCAAGATCGTCATTGAAACGCTGCCAGAGCCCAACGAACAGTGAGTTTAATTAACATCTGTCCACCTAAAACCTGCATCTACAACCAGGAGGTAACCAGTTGAGATCGTTGCAGCATCTCATCATGCTGGCTTAAGGTGTTTCTGTTTGAAGCTGAAGACAGATGTAGATTTAAGATGATTTTATGAAAGGCGTATACAGTTTGAACTAAGAGCTCCACTTCCTGTTTGTCCTCCACAGACTTCCCAACATCCAGGAGGAGGAGAACGAGGACGATCCAGAGTAAGTTCACGCTGCTGCTGTGATGAGTTAGCTGCTCCTCGCTAATGCTACTGCAGCTTTACTGCTGACTGAGGCTGCTCAGATACATCAGCTACACCTCGTTAACACGCCTCACGCGGCCTTCACTCTGATTCACCCAGCTTGTCATCGGCTAACTACTGGCTAGCTACCTGTTTTCCACTGTCTCTTGGCAGAAAATGAGCAAAATTAAAATAAATTTGTAGGTAAAGTATCTTGAGATGTAATAAATTACTGAAGCCACGCTGCTGTAGCTTAGCATGCTATATTTCTCTGGGAGTAGCTTCATTGTAGTTAAGTTACTTCTAGGGATGCTAGATGCTAATCAATGCTGTGGGAGAGCCAAGGAATGCTCATGACTAGCCCAGGGATGCTAAAGACTGGTCTCACAATGCTAGCTGCTACACTTGGGATGTTAGCCATTAGCATAGGCAGTATTTAGCCTACAGATATAGTGACTAAAGATGCTAATGACTTGGAGCTAGCTTATAAGTTTCAGTGACCTTGACATAGTGAAGCCTTATCTAATGTAGAGTAACTACTAGCTTAGCTGACTGCTCACTTTAAGCATCTTGTCCAATACTGCTAGTTAGTAACCTAGGAGAGACCAGCGAGGGCTGCAGGTGGCTAGCCTAGGGATGCTAGTTACCATCACAGAGAGGACAAACTTAGAAATGCTAGCTGCTACTCTCGGGATCTTGTTATGAGGTCGTCCCATAAAAACTGACAACATAAGGTGTCCAGATGTTTTATCCACGGTAAAAGCAGTTTACTTCCACAATAACACGTCCTTTCACTACCTTATTATCTACTTTCTGAGCAGCCTCTGCTGGCAAAGTTATGGTACATGTCCACAGGATCCAGTATTTCTATGCTTCCCATTCATTGTCTGCTACGTGGCTGAGGTATACATTCTGGTAGCGCCTTGTTGAGAGATGGGGAATCATGTTGGCTGCTCCCTGTCCGCATAAAGTTGGGTTTGAGGCTATTTTCTGCAAATCAGGGGCATCCAGTAAGACTCACCGCCTCTGATAAAACCTGGTAAAAAACATTTAAATGAGCCGTCATCAGTCTAAACAAGACACATTCAGCAGCTGCCTGAATTATTTCTCACTTGAGATGTTGAACGTTTACAAAAGAGTTTTCATGTTGGTCCAGACTGAGATCAGGAAGCAGATGCAGCCCTCGCATCCAAAACCTTCCCAGTGGACACATACTGTTCCATCTAAAGCTCGGGATCCTCTTTAGCGCCGCTGCTATCTGCTTGGTTCGAACACTGCCGCCTTTAGCAGCTCACTTCTCTCGATGAGCTGAACCATCTGAACTGTCTGACAGGGACTCTCTGTCTTGTTTGCTGTTCAGGTTACAAAACCTGCAGGAGGACAGTGAGGACAGCACAGACAATATGGGTCCTGAGGAAAGTAAAGTAACAGAGGAGAATAAGAAAAGCACTGTTGAGGAGGAGAAAATACCTCATGAGTAAGTTCAGCCATGACTAGTAAAAGGCTTGAACCTGCAGTTGAATGGAGGGATGCTACTGTAGAATATACTTCAGTCTGGGTTGCAAACATCTAAGACTTGGTGGAATCTGTTGTTCTGAGCTTTAAACCTGTTATGGCTTTTTAGAGTGAGGCCAGAGGGCTGGGCCACCAAACTGGACTGGACGAGGTTTTATTAGTTCTTGGGATGTTCCACTCTGTTGCACTTGTTTAAGATCACGATGAACCTGAACTCACAGGCCTGTACACTTCTACAACACAAGCATTAGGTGGCTGTCCAGTGGTGTACAGTCATGAAGAAAAGTTTAGACACACTTGTAAAGACCATGTATGTCATGACAGCCTTGACTTTCCAGTGACTCCTACAGCTCTGACTTTGCTCTGATGAACTCATGTCTTTTGGTCCTTTCACGGATTTATTAAAGGTCTGATGGAAATATGACAAAATCTGCTGGGTCAAAAATATTCATACAGAAATGTTCATATCTGGTTCAGCGTCCATGTTCTCCTCAGTCGGGTTCTTCTGGTTCCGTCCACCAGCTTCTGGTCCATCTCTGACTCCTCTGGACAGAACCGCTGCAGTTCAACTAAACTCGTCGTCTCTCTGACTCAGACTTGGTTCTTCACCAGTCCACAGGTTCTGGATGGTTCCAGTCAGGACTTTGGGGAGACCAGTCTAGAACCTTCATTCCAGCCTGATGGAACCATTTCTTCACCACTTTGATGTGTGTTTGGGCTCATTGTCTGGTTGGAACATCCAACTGTGTCCAAGATCAACCTTCTGCTGATGGTTTCAGGTTCTCCTGAACAACCTGGAGGTGATCCTCCTTCTTCATGGTTCCACTGACTTTGTGTGAAGCTCCAGGTCCACTGGCAGCAGAACAGAACCAGAGCATGATGCTGCCACCTCCATGCTTGATGGTAGGTTTGGTGTTCCTGGGGTTAAAGGCCTCACCTTCTCTCCTCCACACATGTTTCTGGTCTTTGTGTCTAAATAGCTTTTGTTTCATCTAAGCACGGAACTTTCTCTCAAAAGGAAGAACTTCCTTCTGATTCCATCATAGAAAATTCTGAGTTTTGGGAATCACTGGAGACTGAAGACTGTCATGATATACATGTTCTTTAAAATGTATGGAAACTTTTTTTCATGACGTTGGTGTAGGATCCAACAGTTTCAACTGTGACATTAACTCCAAGTGCACCAAAACACAGATAGTTACTGGACGTAACTCCAGTTCCTCAAGCATGTAGAAAGAGGAACAATGGAGATTTGTTGCGTTGGCCTATATGGTGAAGCTTAAGAGGTTGGTGGTAATGTTAGGGAGAAAGCTGCTACTGGATTTGGACATTGAAGGAGCAGAAAAATAGTTCTTGTTTTCCTCGCAACGTTGAATAAATCGATGTCAAGACCTACAGGGAGCGTTCCTGTGGTTGAAATACATACAGAGTTTCAGGCCACCCTAACATGACCCACAGTTTCCTGCAGTGGAAAACAATCTGTTTAGACGTTGGGTAAATCCTCCTTCAGGATCTTGACAGGAGCTGGTTCACTGTTTTCGAGGCAGGATTGACTTTACCAGAGAATCCTTTCCAGGTTTCCTGATCGGCACAGTGCAAAACTTCAGGTTCCCTTTAGCAAATGTAAACACCTTCTGTTTGGTTGGTTTGTCGTATCCGTCCAACACTGTCCCTGACCTTCATGTCACAATGACCAGACCGGCAGACACTAGAGCCCTGAGGCAAGTCTTACGTACGCTGCATTCCTTTTAAGCTACTTCAGGCTACGATGATGTCTGTCCAGACGAATGTTTGACCTCTCTGTCAGAAATAATCCCCACCTAGGGTTGGTTGCTTAGTTGTAGAAAACACTACAGAGGAAGAACAGCAGCTGTTAAACGTAGGACCAGAGATTTCCTCAACTGCAGAGACAGCAAGGTTAGCATCGCCTGTACTTCAGTCCGGTGACCAATCAGGGATGGACACGCAGTGACAATTAAGACCAAATCCCAAAGTGAACATCGGCGTTTGTTTCAGTCCAGACTGCAGCACAAACTAAATGGGGTCTAAATGTATTCATTTAGGGCTCCTAAGACTCTTGAGTCGATATGAACGTACCAGAAGTTTTGAAAGCAAACTGTATTTGTGTGGCTGTAGCCTCAGTGACGTCTGCCAAAGGGATGGAAAGGCTTCTTTTAAGTCCTGTAACTCTGCCTCCTCCTCACAGGCTGTGAAAACAGACTGAAGGTAAACTTCTTATGCTACCAGCAAATCCATGTTTTAGCCTTCCTCTGTGCTGTAAAGCTCTTTGAGGGACAGAAATAATGAGATAATGGATTTAACGGACCCTTTTGGCACCGTCTGGAGGATTCCCCCTGCAGAGGTGCATGAGGTCCATCCAGCTGACCCGAGGTCAGGTCCAGAACACACTGCGGGAGGATTAATTGAATCCTGTTTAGAGTCAAAATCTGCAAAGAAACCATAAGTTTTAGGTTAACCCATTTACCCCAAGTGCTCAGATGTTGGTTCAGGACAGATTCTGATGGACTGACAACAACAAACTGAGGACATCCCCAAAGTTGAACATGGTCTGGACACCACTGATGTGTTAATTCTGGCCTGTTGCTAGCAGAACAACAACAACAATGACATCAGCGTCTGTCCTGTCCATTGTCTGCCACACTTAAAACACACTTCGGTATTTCCAGCCTGTGATCTGTGACAGATGCCGATGTTGTAGTGGTCTGGAGTCAAAAAGTTCAACATACCTGGTTGCTGTAGCCGTTGGTGACAGATTCTACCGAAGATCACGTGATTCCTCAAATTAGCATTGGCAGAACCAAAGTAAGCCTGGCAGAAGCCATAAATATTGGCAGGCATTAAAGAACCAGACATGTGGTCTCAGGAAGGTTTAGTTTTATTGATCTAAATCATGTTCTGGTCCATTTTTCTTAGCTTGAGGTTCGCCTGGAATGTGAGTGAGACTTTGCTTCTACATAGTTTCTTTAGGCCCAAACAGTTTGTCGTCTGCTTCTGCAAAGCTGCGTTCGCTGCTGCCTTCAGTGTCTCTGGTGACTAAAATCTCTTCATTGTTTTCTTCTTCTGTGAATCAGGGCAGATCTCAAAAGGTAGGTTGGCATTTTTACTGCTTACTTTTACATTTTTATCAGTATGGTTCAAGAAACAAACTCTGACTTCCCTCAAACACTCTATCATCCATTTCCACACCACTGCTGTGAGCTCCACAGTATGAATGTGTTTGCTGTTGGGTTTTAGTAGAAATCAGCAGGACTCCTGCTCTCTTACACCACTGTGGAAAAAACCTTCATTAAACTGTTGTATTTCCAGCCAAACAGGGACCCTCAGAACATTTCCGTTGCTTGGTTGCTTGTTTGGTCCAGACAGATCCTGACAAACACTCTGACATGTGTTCAGAGCGTTGGTGCTCCCAGAGAAGGCAAACGTCTGAGAGTTTGGGGTGAATGTGTTAACTTGAAGCTTGTGGTTTCTTCTCTAATTTTTCACCACCTTCAGCGACCAAGTTCCTCTTTTTGTTGACTTGAATGCATTTGCACCTTTTTAAATGTCACTCTAGCCTGAACTAAACCTGAGCCACAGGTGACCCTACATCAGGATGGATGGAGCAACCTGATGCACACCGGCTGTCATTTTGTCATTTTGAAGCCCGGAGCTGCTGCTTTTATTGGGCGCCATCTGTTCTGCTGGCAGACCTTTCATTTGAAGGAAACACTAACTGCTTCCTGGAAACACTGAGCGGTCCACGCCGAGGCAGTGCTAGCTACTTTAACTTCACGACGCAGATCTCTGATTCAAACACAAACTTTTCCAAAATACTGCTGACAGCATTTGGTAATTTACAGGAGCTAAGAGATGTGACTCCAGTTGTATGTAGGAAACGGAACAACGTTGGTGTTTTGTTAGCATCTGTGGTGGATTTGATGTTGTTGATGGTTAGCAAGGAGAAGATACTGGACAAGACCATCAAGAGAGAAAATGTTGTTATTGAGTTTAACCAATCACTGTCAGTCCTTGCTTAGCATTTTTTAGGGGCCACTAAGAAGTAGCTGGACTTGGACTTGGTTCTCAGGGCCAGAACAGGTACAAAGGTTCTGGTCGCCTTAAAACAGCCCACAAGTTTTAGCAATGGAAAACTCTAATGATGGATCAAAACGCTCGACTGATATAATAGGCCATTTTCCTGAACCTTGTATGTTCTAACTCCCTGTAGAACCTCTTTCAGGGCTGTTCTCCCTAAACAGAGAACATGAGAACCTGCTGTGGTTTCAGTGCTGATGGGTCAAGCTTGGTGTGGACAAGAACAGTTACCTGCTTAGTGTCCTCATCAGTGGCAGTCTTCTCCGTCAGTGATGTGAATTCACCATTTAGGCCACATAACAAATCTTGATCGTTGTATTTCTGATGCACATTCCGTATCTTCTACTTGTCGATGTCTTGGTGCACTCTGAGTTCACATTGTTGAAGCTGGAGCTCCAGCAGTGAGAAAACTTCCAGTATTTCATGATTTTTGAAGGCAGTCAGTTGGCTCCAGCGTCCAGCAGCGATCAGTGGTGTTAAACGTTCGTTGCCCCTTGTTGTGGACACCCTGTAGGTTACACAGGGAAGCCAGCCATGTCAGCTCTGTCCTGCCTCCTGTATCAGGTGCCTGCTAGACGTCTGTCCAGAACCGGCCAAACCTCCATCTCCACCCGCTGAGGAGGTCGCGCCTTCTTCCACTGATGTCGAACCAGCATCAGAGAGAAGAGACCTGGACAGTCCGACTCCCCAACCCATCACCCAACAGCCAGAAGCACAAGCTGCAGAAGCTCCGCCCACCGCCGCAGACCAGGTGAAACCAACTACCAAACACAAAGCATGTGTGCTGGTTTTGTTGTGGTACACTGATGAGGTCCGACATGTTGACCTCACATGGATGAAGTGAATGTTTATCTGGTGAAGCATGTTCAGGACAATATTAGCCTCCGGTTACAGTCCTGAGCGTCTTCCATCACGCCGCTGTTGTTTAAAGAAAACAGTTCAGTGAAATGTGTTTCTGAGAACATTTCAGGCATAAACATGCTGCTTAATCTGTCTTCATTTGAGTTTAACAATGAATAGTTTAGAGGTTTATGATGGTTGAGCGACGCTCCTCACACAGACGAGGAAAGCGTTACGTGATGGATCCTGTGGACGCGAACCACAACTTTTTAAGATGTGCTGTGATTTCTTTCTTCTCAGAGCTCTGCAGCACCCAAAGCTGGAAGTGGAGGTGAGACAACAAACTTTTATTAGTTTCCTGCTCGTCCTTTTTGTTCTGGTTCTGTTTGCGTTTGTTTGTGCTTCGTGACCTTGAGCGGTCTCAGTTTAATCGATCTGACCAGGATCTTGTCAGGTTCTCATCTTGTCATGATGTTTCTCCGTCCAGTTCCCGACATTTGCTCTCCGATACAGAGCTTTCTGCTTCGGTTCCCTCTCGCTGCTGAGTGTCTGGAGAGCTGCAGGAAGCTGATGCATGATCATAACCTCAGTGCTCCCCGGCTGTCCATGAACCCGCCGCCAGAGCTCACCCAGCTGACCCAGGAGCTGCAGCAGATCCCAAAGCAGGCGCACCAGTGCTGCATGAGCATCTTCAGCCGCCTCCGAAGCCTTACCTCCAACTCCCAGCAGCCTTAAGCCCCGCCCCCTCCCGTAGACCCCTAGAGAACCTCATAGACGCCTCATGTTCGTAGATGGAAACCTCTGAAGTGCCAAAACAACCTAAAGCCTCCCCTGATGTCCTCCACATCCTTCCCATCATGCTCTGCAGCTCTGCTCTGCTTCACCGTCGGCTAACAGGTGATTACAGGTAGACGCTGGTGCTGCTGCAGGCTTCACTTTGCTTCACTGTCTTCAGACCTGAAGGCCCGTTTGGACACCTTCAGATGGACACAGATCACATGGTTGACTCAGTCCAGGGCTCCCAGGTTTACTACAGATTATTCAGGTCTATGTTTGTCACAGAGACACTTAAGTTTCCTGTATTTGTAGTTTATAAGCTGCTAATAATTCTGGCAGATGAATTTGTACGATACAGACTTTAGTTTGTTTTAATTAGAAATAATCTGCCGGCGTGCACACAGCGCTGTGCTGCGTCCACCGAATAACTCACAAAATGACGACAACAAAGTCACAGAAGAGACTGAAAACAGCAACAAAAAGACTAAAACGATACCAAAAGAGATATAACATGACCACAAAGGTACACAAAACAACGCTAAGATGCACAAAGTGACACCAGAGACACAAAATGACGCCACAAACAGACAAAACAGCCTCAAAGAGACACCAAGCAGCAGCTGTATGATCCAGACTGTCCTGTGGATGAATGAGAAACCAACTGGAGACGCCGTCGTCACACAAACCGTCTTTGCTGTTTGTACTCAGACTTCAGTGTTTCTCTGTTCTGGTCCTCAGCAGGCCTCAGCAAAGGTTCGGCTCTGAAGGTGGAAGATGCTGGAAAAGGAAAAGGCCTGAACATCCCTCAGATCATCACGACTCCAGAACCAGACACTCTGACAGCACCGGACATCAGGTAACAACAACAGGAACCTGAAGGGGGCGCCGTCACTGTTAGAGCTGTAGAACGACACCTTCAAAGATCAGTGAGGAAACCTGCTGCAGCCACATGTCCAAGTCCAAGTCCGAGTCCTCATGCTTCAGCTTTTAGTTTTCAAATCATGATAAAAATCTACAGTCAAGAAATGTCCTCATGTGTCCTCATGTCTTTGTACTCATACCTTCTCATGTCCTCATGTCCTCGTGTCCTCGTGTCCTCATGTCCTCATGTCCTCGTGTCTTCCCGTCCACAGTGCTGGAGGTGACCTGTCTGCAGATGAGGACGATGTAGAGCTGCAGCAGGTCGGTCTGAAGACTTTGTCGGATCAAGCAGACCTGCTGACTGCAGACGACGAGTGAGTCGAACCGAACACCTCCACTGTCTGACTTTAACTCCGCCTCCATCCAGCCGTCCTCCATGTTCATGTCCTGCTGTTGTCCTGCAGGGGGCGACCTCTGTCAGCAGCCAGCGTCGGCAGCGTCGTGGTCCAGGACCGACTCAACGAGCTGGTGAGGCTGTTCAAAGGTCGGACGGAGCGACAGAAGGAGCGGCTGGTCGACCCGGACGAGTCGGAGGAGGAGAGTCCGTCCGCCTGTACGTACAAGTTCACAACACAGCTTCAGAGTCCTCGTAACGGAGTCCTCATGAGGTCCCATCTCCAAATACAAAAAGCTGATGACATCAGAAGGTCTCATAGTTACAACAAAATGAGTTCTAGTGACGAGAAAAGACGGAAAACAAGATCTGAGAAAAGCTTTTAGAAGAGAAGTTGTCAAAGATCCTCAGTTATGAGAACTGGAG